AAAAAAAGAAACAAGTTCCATTTTTTAAGCTATTAAGGGAGGTTATATGGGTCTTACCTGAATGCAGATACTTTCATCCAAACACCTGGCAGTGGAATACAGAGGATCAAGCAGTAATGTGCTGCCTGGTGCTCTCACTCCTCCTTTACTTACTCCTCATTACCATAAAGCCGTCTGGTTGGATGGCCGCTCAACCTGTTTTACCTGTTTGCCAGGAGATTTCCTCTGTATTGCTTCTAACACCCCCAAACTTTACCAAATATTTGCACTCTTGATTTTAACCACCACCACAAACAAGCAAACAAACAAAACAAAAACAAAATATGAAATAAAACTACAATCAATTTACATGAAACCAGTGACTAGAGTGTTTGAGGAGATTAGTGTCCTGCTGGGTGAATAACAATGCAAAGCAATCTCTTGTTAAACAAGTGAAACTGGAGGAGCTAACATATAATTAGATGGGGTTTCTAATGATGAGGGTTGGAAACTCAGGGTGCTAATTTGATGGGAGCTCAAGTGTACTGAATACTGCTTTGTCTATTGTCAATCATATCTACTTACGTATATTTTTATTTAGTTGTTTGTCTGTCTGTTCACATACATCCCATTGGTCACTTTATTTTTCGTTTATTTTGATAATATCTTTATTAGTGTCTCCTTGAGCCCAAAAGACTTTGACATAAAAGTCAACACAAGAAATAAGAGGTTGGCCAAAAAATGAACTTGAAAGAAACTTGAAATGAAGACAAAATCATCTGCCACTTGTATAAAGACATACACCGCTACTGTACACTCCCTCCTATTATTGCACACACAATACACCACACACCACCTCTCATTTATCAGATGCCAGTGGTTTCAAATAATAAGGAAGAAAAAGAGAGCACATGAAGTCTCAAGTGACAAGAAACTGGTTGTTCAGCCAAAAACACAAGCCAGCAAGGTTTGTATACATTACCAGGATGTATGAGCTAATAAAAAAATAAAAAAAAGAAACTACAAAGCTTATCTCTGTGCCACATCGACAGGGATTGAGCCTCTATAAATGTTAAGGATTGAGGAATCCTTCAGCTGACATGTGAAGAAAATGGATCAGTTATGAAGGATAAAGAGCTTTATCTCCACTCGTAGGCTATAAAAATATCAAACACATTAAATCTTTACATGAATTTTCTCTTGTAGTCACCGCATTTATATTACGAGCTTTGGGCGATGTTTTCGAAAAACATTTTTATTTACAGCCACAAGCTGATAAAGTAGAGTTATCAGAGACGGGAGTCAGATCCATCGAAACACCGGCTAAACTCACTTGTGAATGTGTGGCATTCCAAGAAACTGCTTTAAAAAAGGTATCATGGAAAGCATTATTTGGTTGCTTTGTATTTTGCTGTTAATACACACACACACACACACACACACACACACACACACACACACACACACACACACAGACAAAAAAAAACATTTGAACAAACTGTTAGAACAACATTACATTAGATTCTTCACTGTCATTGCACACAGTATGTACCAAGATTTGTGCAGCCATGTTGTATGCATTTTTATTTTCACGGCATTCTACATGTTACCCAGTGTGCTTGCGTTAGGTGTCTATGATGGTGGGGAGCTGGGGATGCTCTTTGCAGGAAATGACCAGAGTACGCTGTCCACAGAGAAACACACACAGCCCAATATTCAGAAACTGAGCCCTAAAATGAGCTGAGATGAGGTAGGATTGTTTGACCTTACAGACATGGGTCTGTTATCTGTTATCTGGGTCTGTTAATGTATGATCCAGTTACAGAGAGAGGTGGTTGAATGCCTAAATAACTCTATCCACAGTGAAACACCTGAACAACATAAAAATGTTCTCAGTTGGCAAACAACAAGAAGACACATCATAGCAAACGTCTGGTAGTTGTGGGACAGACAGCCCAGCTGACCTAATCATTATTTTATGGTTCTGACACTATCTGGCAAATGACAAAAGCTGTGCTGTATCATCCACTATTCTGACATCTCAAATGTGTGATCAAGTGGCATGCCATCTAACCCTGTTAAAGTCAAAAATAGGCATAAGTTAGAGGGGGGACAGTGGGGGGTTGTAGCTGGTTCTTCGGCTCTGCTTGCCTATCAGTAAAAATCACCGCGTGCCACTGCATGATCACAGGAAGTTGAGCTTCGCAAGTCAACACATAACCCCCTCCTGTGACCAAGCTACATACACAGCTGGTCACTCAGTTCAGCCCCCTGCTCCTTGTGGTCACCTACACTGAAGCCAAGTTCATAATGTAGTCGTGAATTTGTTTCTATATTCTATTATAAGTATGAAATAGTTATTACATCGTGGCCCCATGAATGTCTATTAACCAGCAGTCATCATTCATTATTCTATATTTGCTGGTCCAACTTGCCTATGTCCCGCTGGGGCCCTCGGTCATGTTGCTGGGGGGCGGGGTTGTAAGATGTATCACCATTACATTGAAAGGATATTATATAAATGATATAAAGTATTATTATATATTCATATTTTTTTATCATTATTATATTGTTCTATTGTTATATTCTTTCTACAATTATATTCAGGTTACTACATTAATTATCACTCAACTTTTTGCTCTCTCCTCGTACATGCCACCATGCCACATTCTGTACCCCACACACCAGTCTGCCCACAATCACAAAACACAGATACATTTGATTAACTCTCATATAAACATTGAAACATGTACACATACACACACACACACACACACACACACACACACATATGCACACACGTACGCACACATATTTCAGTCCGTCCTTTGTTTCCTTCATGTCACACCTGTTTTTGTTTGGTTTTCCAACAAAGGAAAAAAAAAAAAACACAAAGAGATGTCAAACTTTCAAAGAAACAGTGAATCTTAAATGGCGACTTCATCCCACCAAAGAAAAACCTACAATCAATTAAGCACGTTTTTCTCTCCCCTTAATTAAAGAAAAAAGAAAAAACAAACAAACAAACAAAAAAAAAAAAAACCTAAAACTAAAGGGAGACGGAACACTTAGATTCATGAGGTGGACAGAAACATTGTTCCAAATGAATGAGACTAAAATGAGAATAATGTTTTTCAATGTTTTCTGAATATGTTTGATCTGGGCATGAAACCAAATCCTAAACAAAACACCCACCAGAACCCAGTTACACTCACACTGGAAACTGATGACCTCCATTCAAAAACCGCTGAGTAAAAGTCACAGTTTGCGAGAGTCATTTGCATGTTGTTTGTGATTCCAGGAAGTACTGTATCAGAGGCTAATCACTAGCTACTGAGTTAGTGAGCTCACCACCTGCTAACAAGTTTTTGGCCTTGCCTAAGTAGCTGGACCCTATTCACACCTACATGCCAAGTTTGGCTTCTCTGAAATTCGTGTTTCTTGAGCTAGAAAAACAGCTTTTTGTGTTGAAAAAAAACAAACAAAGACACAAGAAAACAGGCAAACCAAGCCAATACAGCAGGGAGCTTCCCTGCTTGGACTAATACACGAGTCCTTGAAAAAATGTAACAGTCTTACTTGTTTCACCAACTCTTGTTGGCATGCTTGTTATGTAACTGTGTAATAATATTTCACAATCCTCTTTTAAAAGACATTTATCAGATAGTAACTGGAATTTCTTTGTCAATGCGTACAGGAGAAAATGAAATGACCAAATAAAAATCAAAATGTAGTTCTTGTTTCATGACGCAGACTGCACAGTTTGTGCCCCTGACTTTATTGACTTCACATCTGAAAAGGTTTTTTTTGACACATCAAGTACCACTTTCATTTCTAACCAGATACTTCATAGAAGCTGAACTGTTGAACACACTGCAGATGTTTTGTACTTCCAGTTATATCTTTTAACTCTACAGCCTTGACTACTCACTCTTTTTCTTTCTTTTAATCAAGTGATTGTTTATTTCTTTTAACTTCCTTGTAACAAATTACCTTCGAAATGCAGCAGCAGAAAAAAAAGGCACAGCAAGAAATAATGAAATTAAGTCAAAAATAAAGAGTTGCGTTATAACACAGCATTAACATAGACCTTGTTGTACCATTTTGTTTGTTTCATTAGCCTATGACATTATTTCTAATGAAGAGTGCCATTTTTCTGTTTGTATGTCATTTTTTCCATTTCACACACCTCCTTTAATCTGCTTGTCCATTTTCCTGTGGGCGGTGCACCCTTGTTGAGCGAATGTCCAGTTGTACATTTCCATTCCATTAGGACAAGGATATTTTAAAAAAGTGATTAGTGTGTCCAATCTTCAGGGAGTCCTGCAGTCTTGGAGTTTGCAGGGGAATCTGCAGAATATCATTTATAAAAAGAAAGACTTTGGTCTAGAAGTGCATCAATTAGTAATGACAGTGACATTGATATATATATATATATATATATATATATATCTTAATTATCTATAATTTGAAATATACTCTTTTGTGCCATACTGGCAATAGCTTGATATAATTTTGCTACTGATTTACTATTAATTCATCAGTACTGAATGTCCCAGTTGGAATTTTTCAATATAAAAGTCTTTTAATTGTACAAAAAAAAATCTGATTCATAAAAACAGTACTGTGTTAATAGATTTGGATTTATAGTGGAGTTCTTGAGTGCATCTGTCTTTGGTCTTGGAGAAATTATTAAATAGACAGTGTGGTAATTACAAACTCACTTCCATAAAAATAAAATTAATTTTACAAATATACTACATGTTAAAAAACAACTCAATTACTGTATTACTATTTAATTTCATTTAATTAAGATTAACATTTTGAGCTTTTACAGTCTTTTTTCAACAAAGTGTTACTTATGCACAAAACTTTACTTCTGATGATGCCTCTGCTGCTCAAAAAATTCAAAAGCTCCTGGCTCTTATTGCAGGAATTTACACAACTGATTCTGTGCCAAGTAGGTCATAAGCTCAGTTGTTCACAGTTCCAAAGTGCACTGTTATGAAAGCTGCCCAGACTTTGCAAGATAACCTAATTGATACGGAGAAGAAAAGGGAATACAAGCTGGATTTCTTTCTCTCTCTGACTCCAGTGTTTACCAGCACACGACAAGTTGGCACAAAGTAACCTAGTCACTTGAGCTTGACTATGACTGCAGAAATTTGGGACGTTATTATTGTTGGCGCCGGACTATCTGGATTGAGTGCAGCTCATTTGCTCAGAAAAAGGGATGCCAAGTTGAAGATACTTATACTGGAAGGAAAAGGTTTGTAAAATTGCATCGTGATTGGAAAGCAATTGATAACTTGAAATAGTGAGTCATTTTCTGCTGGATTCTTTTAGTTTAGCAGTTGCTGCTGGAAAGAGGTATCATTCTGACTAAATCATGTCTGGTTTGCCATGCAGATCGGGTGGGAGGTCGCACAGTGTCTACTGCAATACCAGCAGCCAATGGTGTTGATCGCTGGGACTTTGGAGGGCAGTGGGTAGGAAGGTAATGTTGATCAGAAACTATGAGCAAAAGTAATAGTCACTACTCAGCGAGCAAAAGACCTTTGAGGAAATCATTAGGGTTTGTAATGTCAGAACAGGCAGAACATTTTAGACCTCAGTTTAACATGTGAGCTCAATCCACATGATAATTCAAACAAATTCACTTGCCAGGCGCAGTGGTTTGTACTCAGGTTTGGAAAGATGGGGGGGATTGGGGGAGTCTGACCCCCCTGATTAAGACTTGGACCCTCCCAAAAGAAGTACAAACAACAGTTCAGGGGGGTTGAAACATTTATATATCCTTATTACGTGTAATTGTAAATATTACAATATATTTCTCGTATTCATGCCTGAAAGAATATTGTACTATGATTTCACACCTAAAGTGGGCCGTACCATTTCTAATGATCTAGTTGGTTTAAATCACTTTACTTTCTTACCTTCAGAGTTTCTGAATTAGACTGTGTCAACTATCTAGCTTTTGCCTTAACTTACAGTTTAGTTAAGTAATGTTAGTGACTTGTTGTCATTGTTTTTCCATTTTATACTGCACTACATTTCACAGGGAAATATTGTACTTTCTACTCCACTAGTTAAACAAGCAAGATACTGTAATCACTATAACACTTAAGTTCACTGAAGCACGCGCCTGCACTGTACTGGATTCCCTTCACCCTGGAGAAAAACTTGACCCTCCCTGACTATCATTTTATAACTCACACTCTGTTTGTCACCTGGCCAGATACAAGTTATGACTGGCTCCAGCTAGGGATAAGCCGGGTATATGATATCCCTTACTGACACACTATCTTGTAGACTAGGATTTTGTGTTTTAAGAACACACAAATAATTAAGGTTCCTATAATTGCCCATTTAAGAGAAAATCCTTGAATATGATTACTTAAAGAACAGCTGAAAAGATTTCTAATGACTCATAGATTCAAGGCCATTATGACTGGGTTTACAGGGATTTTATAATTTATTGTGAAAAGAACAGAGTGGGGATGTGTATTGTTCTATGTTGTGCTTGTAGGCTGGTTTTGAGAACGCATTGGTTGCATTGTCTACGCTATGCTGCAGTGTTGCTCGAAATATTCCAAACTAGTACTGGAGCTTGTTTCATTTTGTCTATTTCCTGTGTATGTATTTATTTGTGTATGTGCATTATATATGCATATATATTATTTTCACTTTAGTTTGAGCTACATTATAAGATGAAAGAGTATTTCTTTTTTCCTCTTGGGTCCTGGAAGAGTAGTTTTTGCAATGGTAACAGCTAATGGGGGTCCAAACAAATAATCAAATAAACACGACAGAGTGCATCAGCTATGTAGAAAATAACACAGTGTTTTTGTATCTTTTCAGAGCTTCATAAGTGTTTGAGCTCAATTTTTCTTTCAGGTCTTTCGCTTCTTCAGTTTCTGTAAAGTGTCTGTTTTCAACAGTTTATGGACCATTAGCACCTCCGTGTAAGTCCAAGCTTTTTTTCTAAAGAAACCCATTTTAGATTGCAGGTAGCAGCCATCCCAAAACTGCCCTGTCTCTCAGAAGTTTGGGAGAAATTATTGTTCAGTAACTCAGTTCAAGTCGTGCCTGAACAAACAAGTTTATGTGAAAATTCAGGCAGGATTTAAAGTCCTTTGCGGCACAAATTCTCACATATTCAACCGTTACACAGCAGAATAGTTCAAAATGGAGAGCTTGTTAAGTGCATTGTTCAAGAACACTTTGACGACAGTTTGATTTATAGAGGGCGCTCCCAGGTGCTTAGAGTTGCCGTTTTTATTCCAGTTGTTCAAGGACTCACTCAAGCAATGTGCTACTCTCAAGCCCACTCCAATCATCTGAAAATAAAATGCATTTATCAGCTGCAAGTTTAATAACCCCACAGCAAAACCTGAAACCCTGTAAACAATAACATCATGAAGCTTTATAAGAAAAAACTGCCTCCTTTCTCTTTTAGCACCCAAACCCACATCTTGGAGCTTATAAAGGAGCTGGGCTTAGAGACATTCCCACAATTCAATATTGGCAAGAAGGTGTACCACTTGGGTGGGCCGGGTGCCAGAGTTCTCACCTACAGAACCAGCATCCCTGCTCTATCCCCAATGGTGCTAATGGACCTCACCCAGTTCCTGTGGAAGGTGAGGCATGAGACTAACATAACTGTCTTCTGTATTTAGGACCATGTTGAGTCAGAGATGCACAGTGGTTTCATTTATTTCTTGTTCACTTTTGCATGTATACCAAGAGTAAGATGATACACTATTTACACTCACCAAGCACTTAATTAGGAACACCATACTTGCTCTCAAAACACCTTCAGTTTTTCGTGTCATGGGTTCCACAAGATGTTGGAAACTTTCCTTTGAGATGATCCTTCATGTTGACATGACTGCATCACATCATTTCTGCAGATTTGTCAGCTGCACATTCATGCTGCCAATCTCCTGTTCTATCACATCCCAAAAGTGTTCTACTGAATTCAGATCTGGAGACTGTGGAGGCCGCTGAAGTTCACTGAACTCATTGTCATATGTTCACGAAACCAGCTTGAGGCAGCTTTTGTTTTGTGGCATGGAGCATTATCCTGCTTGAAGTAGCCGCTAGAAGATGATAAATTGTGGCCATAAAGGGAAGCACATGGTGAGCAACAATACTCAGATAAACTGTGACATTCAAACAATGATTGACTGGTGTTAATGGGCTCAGAGTGTCCCACCACCAGTGTGGACTATTGACATCCAGGTTGGGTCCATGGATTCATGCTGCTGATACCAAATTCTGACCCGACCATCTGCTGCTTCATTAGAGATCGAGATTCATCAGGCCAGGCTACGTTTTTCCAGTCTTCAACTGTCCAGTCTGTGCCCACTGCAGCCTCAGGTTTCTTTTCTTGGCTGACATGGTCTTCTGCTGTTGTAGTCAATCCACCTAAAGGTTCAACGTGTTGTTCATTCTGAGAAGCTTTTCTGCCCACCACAGTTGTAATAGTGGATATCTGAGTTTCTGCAGCCTTTCTGTCAGCTCCAACCAGTCTGACCATGTCCTCTGACCTTTTGCATTAACAAGTTGTTTCTGTTCACAGAGCTGTTGCTCACTGGATGTTTTTTGTCTTCTGCTCCATTCTGAGTAAAAACTCTAGAGACATTCTGATGTTTGATAAACTGAAGCTCCTGACCTGTATCTGCATGATTGTATATACTGCGCTGCTGCCACATGATTGACTGATTGGGTATTTGCATGAATGAGCAGGTGTACATGTGTTCCTTCTTAAGTCCTCAGTGAGTATATATGAGGAGATATACAGAATTTCTTTAGAGACCAGCCCATTTTCATGATTAGTTTTATCATCCATTATCCTTCCATTCTTGATGATTCTTAGTATCAACAAGAATCCCCAAATGGATGTTGTAAAATAATATTTCACACTCATAATGCAGTGTTCCACATTTAGACTAATAGGACAAGAGTACATTTATAACTCAACATGGTACCACAAAATTTCATGTCCATAATAAATGCTTCATGTAGCAGTGGGAAGTAGAAAATGTCTGGGAAAATGCACCAGCATAATCATATTTGTCAATCCATCTTTTGTTGGTATTTGCATCAATGGGATGCTTTGGTTCACAGTGGGTAAACCATCATGTGTGGGTGTGTTGTGGTGATTGTGTTTCACTCTCAGATTGACAGATTGTGCGCTACAGTGTTTGTCCAGGATCCTTCGAAGACTCCCAACGCTGTGGAACTGGACAGTATGACCCTGCATTCGTACATTGAGCAACATGGCTGGACTGCTGGTCAGGGTTAAGAGTAGATTTAAATATCACCTCCTCTGTCTTATTTGTTCCCCTTACTTGATTTGTCATTTTCCAATTTCTACTTTCTTTCAATTTATGTAATGAAAGAATGAATGAAGGAAAAAAAAAATCCATTTCAAATGTTTCAACAATCACTGGATTACTCTGAAGAAACTGAAAAAAAAGTAATGATTCTCAGGCAAGTTCTGAAGGGGAAGTTATGACAACGAGAGGGAGTATGATTTTGACTCAAATTCACCTCACGCAGTTTCTCTGCCTCCTGTCCCCTTCCTCTGGCATCCCTTGTGAATTTTGGCATTTGGCTTTGTCTAGTGGAATGTGTATGTCCATTACAAACCATATCCTGTGGTTAAAATGCCATCTGAAAGGATGAGTTAAATTATCAAGGAGAACAGTGAAAGTTTTCGTCAAACACCTCCCCCCTGTAATGCTGTCCTCCTGAATGGAGCTTAGGAATTTACAGCCATCATAGCGGCTCTGTGAGTCTGTGATGCTGATTATAAATCTAATAATAATAATAATAATAATAATAATAATAATAAAATGATAATAATACTGATGGTGATGACGATGGTGATGATGATGATGATGATGATGATGATGATGATGATGATGATGATGATGATGATGATGATGATGATGGTGGATAAAGGTTGAGGTGCAAAATTAGTCTCCTTAGCAGTTAAAGTAAATGTAAGAATGTTAACAGTGACAATGGTCAGCAGATGTAATGTTTACCATGAGCACCATCTTTAGTTCATCATTAGTTTTGCAGTATTTAGTCATAAATTAAAGCATTGGATAAATTGAAAAATCTGACCTAACGATGGCGCTAGATAAGTAGTCAGCTTATCAACAGAGTAATGTTGTCTGTCATTGCAGGGGAATGCATATTATCACTGTAAGTGTGAGAGCTACAGTACAGTATGTATTCGTTCATCCCTTTCTATCAGAACTAAGAGAGGAGGTCGGACTGTGTAGCAGGTCTGTCTTTGGCATGGAGCCATCCCAGATGTCCTTCCTGTTCTTCCTCATGTATGCTGCAGCAGCTGGAGGACTGCTGCCACTTCTGGAGAACACAGCGGGGTCTGCTCAAGAGTTCAAGATAAAGGTATGCAGCTCATGTCCTTCTCCAGACTGCAAATTGTTTACTTGAGTGCTTTTTCTTTTTTTTTTCAAACCTGGGGACCACATTGGATTTCTGCTCTACATCAATATAAAACTGAGCATCCAGCCTCTCAACACAGCACCGCACATTTCGTTCAAGCCACGTCCCAACAAACACATTGCCTTACTTTGTCCTTGAAACGTCATTGACCAGTAATGTTAAACAGTTTCAGCAGTAGTCTTGTATTGGATTTTCCTATTTTCTGCGTGCTCCCTCAGCATGAAAGTTATGGTTCCATACTGTTTTGCTTCTGTGTTGCTGCTTTTGAACGTTCTCTCTCTCTCACAGTGGTGGAGTGTAAAAGAGACTGAATGCTAAAAAAAAAAAAAAAAAAAAAAAAAAAACAGGCTGTCAAGATGAAGGGACAAACTAGGAGGCCTTAGAAATTAACAAATTTTTCTCCACTTTTTCCACCTGCAGCAGTTTGCTTATTATTGTATTCCAGCTATTTCCTGAAGGAATTACCATGACAATACAATAGATGCAGTAAAAGCAGCACCAAATGTGAACTATAATGGGCTTGCTCAATCATACATCATGAAAAAGTAAAGGCAAACGGCGATACAACACACATCTCAAACACAACACACATAGCTCCTTTTCTTTAGTGTATTTTTTTCTTTTGTACTTGCACTGGTGCTTACATTCAGCCTTTATGTTGTCCTGTTTTTCATTATGTTTTTTTTTTTACAATAAAAAGTAGAAGTATTTTATACCTTTGGAAGAAAATTGTTTTGTCTGAAAATTGTGTTTAGCTAGTTCTGCGGTTCATTTCATTAAATATCATTTCTACTTGCTTGCATACCAGAGAGAAAATGTTTTGCTGTATTGGTGGTGTCAGCAAAAGTCTCAGAGGCAGATACATAAAAATCTTGGCAAATGTAACTTTTATTGGCATGGCTGATTAGACACCACTAGGGATTTGTTGTTGTGTAATTTGGGTGAAGTGACCCTTTAACTTCAAGCAGCCTGTCTTTTCCAGGGAAGGAGGGCATCTATGGGTTTTAAGCCCACATTAAATTGTAATATCTGTCTCTCCACAGGGAGGCACCCAACAGCTTTCAGAGTGTCTGGCAGAACGTGTGGGGCGGAAGAATGTCCGGCTGGGTTCTGCTGTGACGGCCATATGGCAGGTAGAGTACAGTAACAGCTCTCTCAGGGGCTGATGAGGCATGACACAGAGATAACAGCGTCCTCAGCGGGGAAACAGGCCGTCTCCTGTGAAGGCACTGTCTGTTCCGCCTGACTGTCTTCCTTATCCACAGCTGAGAGACCAGGAAGGGTCGGTGCACCCTTAAGTGTAGAGCTTTATCCAGTGTTCCACATCAATATACTGTTCATTCCTACTCTTCATGGATTCATTTGTGATTATTGATTGTTAAAGGACAGAACATTGAATTTGGAGTGCTGAAATATTTGATGTGATTGTTGTTATAGACTATAGAGTATTGAACTGAACACTGAATGCCATCAGTAAGGAGTCTATGTCTGCATTTCCTCCAAAATAGAGCCAAAACAATTAGTCAATTAAGCAATCGATCAATTAACAGAACAGAAACAGAAAACAACTTTGATAACATAATTGCTGTTTATGTCATTTATTAAGCAATTAAAAGCCAAGAATTAACTGGTTGCAGCTTCTTAAATGTGATACTTTGTCTTTTCTGGTTTACATCATGGTAAATTGAACATCTTTGGGTTTTCAACTGATGATGGGACAAAACCAAGCAGCAACTTTTGGGACTGAAAGAAGAAGCCAAATATGCAGTTCCTCCAAAAACGAGTCAGTCCCCATGGACTCCCATTTAAAATGTTCAACTTTACAATAGAAATAAACATGTTTACAGCCTGGTACAAAAAATGATGTAACTCATCAGTTTAAATTTTAATTAAGGCTTAAAGTAATTGAGGGTGTGCCACTTTGAGTGACACATGCTTACCCACCTATAACTCAAAGCGGCACGCCCTCAATTGTGCATAACTTTAAGCCTTAATAAACAGGTAACATAAAGGTGATATAAAAATTCATCCCCTGTACAGCTGTCATGAAGGAGGAAATTAGCTATAGAGACCAAAACCGTTTTTTTCCATGTTGGCTTCATTTATCGGTCCCGGGGGTTGCTGCTTGATAATTAGCCTATTAATCAATTATCAGAAAAAAAAAAAGATCAAATTGACAAATAGTGAAAATCATTGTCAACTGCAGTCCTGCTCCCAAGTTCACTACAGTGACAAGAAGAGTGAGAGAAGGAAGAAAAAAAAAAAGGACGACGTGCACTTTCCATGGCAGCTTTTCATGCGCAGGGTCACAGGAGGCTACCGCCTGCCCCAGCTTGCAGTGGGTGAGAGGCAGGGCATATCCTTGACATTTTGCCAGTCTGTCACAGAGATAAAACATTTTGACAGACAAACACATTCACACATTCATAGCAGTTTAGAGTTTCCACTTCACCTAAGCTGAACCAGAGCACCCAGAGGAGACCTACACAGGCAAAAGGGGAACAAGCAAACTTCACACACAGAGGCCTGGGTAAGGTCTACACCCAGACTCTTCTTGCTGTGAGGCAAAAGTGCCACGCACACACAAAGCAAAAATGATAAAATCATTATTTTATGAAAGTAGTGGTATATGAAATAATAATTTGGCTTCCTTGAGACAAGCTTGTCCAAACTTGAGGATATTGGAGATCTTAAATTTTGGTAGTTTCTGCTCTAAAGAGCTGAGGGTTGTTGCTTTTTTAAATAATTCTGAAGTTACTAGGGAGCAAGTTTAGAGAACCGAAAATATATATGAATTTCTCATTTTCAGCATCCAAAAATATCTAGCTGTCTTAGAAGACAAGAGCTTCCTTTGTTGCACAGAAACACTCTGGTGGGTGAGTTTCAATTATCACCAGAGGCTTAAGTTTAGTGGAAATACATGCGAGAGAACAGGAGTTAAGTGCATAAGAGCTCTGCAATTAAGAGCCAGACTGTCTGCAGTGAGTCTAAAATGAATGATGTACAGCAGATCATGGAGCCATCACAATATCATTTAACCACCTATTAAACTTTATTTTACCACAAAGTTTGCATAAATGGCTGGAACATCTCCCTCTTTAAGCAGACTGTCACAATCGACATCCATAAAAATACAAAACATCATCTAATGGAGAGAAATCTGTTTAATTTATAAACCTGTGCATAATTTATAGGTATCTCCTTAGAAGCTCTTTTTTCCCCCCTTCCCTGTCGAATTCATGCTTAATGAACACAGCAGCATATCTGTATGTGCACAGTGTGGCATTTCATGACAGGCGATGAACTGATTTTCAAAGGATCAAAGTTTATGTGTAAACATATTGTACAAAATGTCCACATAGTCTTGATTACATGGTGGAAATGCTGAATTTTGCTCCAGTAATGTTATAATTTGGCCAATTTAATTTCAGATATGCATTAGTGGCTGGGGGTCAGCTACTGGAAAATAGCAATGACTCCAGTAAAGTTAAGTTTAATTAAGTCTGTGTACGCTGTGTAAATTGAAATCAGCCTGTAAATTATATTTACAAATAGCCCCACCACACACCACACAAGATTCAATTTACTAACAAATCTGTGCAACTTGCTCATTAAATAAAACTGCATTTCTGTTTATATGTTTGAGCAGGGTGCTGAGTGGGCCAGGGTGATGACTGCCACCGACACTTTCTTGTGCAGAGCTGTGATTGTCACCTGCCCCCCTCATTTGGCAGGTCAGTGCTGCGTCTCCCACCTCTGTCGACTCGCTAAATGAAATTCTCACTGATGCAGAAGGCAAATATCCTCCTCTCTCACCACGTCTGTCAAACGTGGCAAACTGTGCATCCATGCAGATAAATTTATGATTTCCCCCTAAATCTTCCCTGGCTGTGTGGTGTGGCAGTCACTTTGGCTGAAGTAAATTCTGTCTGAGGTTGTGCCCTGGGCTGAAGAATTGCCTGGATTGGATTTTGAACCAGAGCAAGGAAGATACTTTAACTGGGGGCTAATGAGACATTCGTTGTGGTCGGCCGTGGGAAGTTGAAAGTGCCAAACACGTCATTACCGACCTCACCACAATTGAGCTGCCAAGGAGTGGAAAATATGGACCCCTGCAGAAAAGTGTTTTTTTTTTTTTTTTGCCTGTTCACAAGAACCAGAAAGTTTTAATTGAACCAACTAACATAACATTTACAACCGTATGGGAAAAGAGTGTGAAGTCTTTTTAATTAGCAGCAGACATTACTTCAGATATAATGTGTTTATTCTTAAACGTGTGGCAGCCATGTGCATTTCCTGGTCAGGAAATAGGAACCTGCATTCCAACTTATAATCAACTGCAGGAGAGAATAGTGTTGATTATGAGTTGGGTCTGGATTTTTGCCTTTTGTCCATTGCTTGTCACAAACTAAGAGTGGAGTTGGTGCTGGTCGATGCTGAAACTTGAGTCCAGGCTTATTCTGATAGGTTTGGAAGGGGCCGGAGCTGGATCTGAAGCTGGAGCTTACTCTGGGTCTGTGCCTGTTTGTACTAAGCTGGCAACAGATCTGTCACTCAAAGCCTCATACTCCAAGCCATGGACCACGGCCAGGATCCTTAATGAGACAGGTTTGAGAGCGGTGTTGAATTATGCAGCCTGGATTGCTCTGGCTCAGATGCCACCGTGCCACGCTTTGGCCTTAAATCAGTGTAGGGAGGATGACAGGGACTCTCAAAAGCCAAAGTCAGGCCAGTGATTGAGACGTCACCTCTCCCAAAAGCTGTCGTGGATAAATAAAAGATATGATTGCTGCTTGAAGTCATCTGTGTGACATGTTTCGTTGTAATTTTCTGGAAGCGGGTGAACCTGAGTTAATGGGAGAGTGAAGGTGGAGAGCTTAACACAGACAGTGGGAATGATGACAATGACTCTAGGTGATTCCAAGCCTCTCTTGGACAGTCGAAGTGCAAAGTGCTGTTCGCAGTATCCATAGCTTCTTGTGTTTGGCTCCTCTGTTGCAGACTTTTGTTTCTGACATCCCTAATTAATTCTCCAGGCACTTGCTTTTGAATCAGTGAATGAGTAGATGGATGAACACAGAAATGAATACTTTCAGAGGGTCCACAAGGTGCTTTACATCAAAAGACACCCACCACTGTATTCACACACACCAACGGAATTACTGGATATGAGCTGTGTGTTCCCTAATATATTATGTTTGTCCTGCTCTTGGCTCCTGGATTTATCTCCCCATTCATCCATCCATCTTTTATAATGAGTTCCGTCAATTTTGTTTCTTTTTTTCCTTTTTTTGTTACCACTTCTCTCGCTCATCTCAATGATTTATGGACTGTTTGGTTTCGCTGCATATGAAATTGCTATGCATGAAAAGGATAAATGTGGAAATTAGGATTTTGGCCATGTGTTGACTTTAGAAAACATGGGTGAAGTATGCATGTTTTAGTTGGTATGTAAGTAGGTTCCCATGTATATTCATTCTGAGACTGCATAACAAAAAACCTAATTAGGCTTTCACAGCATGCAGTTGGAGTATAATGCAATCAGGCATACAGTCTAATATTCAGCAATAGTTACAGAGACAGCTCTGCGGTTACTAAATTAACATTTTGTTTCAATGTGTTTTTCTGTCTCTCTTTATCAAGCAGGAAGTCCCTGGCAGAGCAGGCTAACTGTCTGGCTGTGTGTACGCATATGTGTCCATGTGGGCATTTATTGTTGAGTGGGTGATGCTAAAGTTCTTCATGTCACTTGTAAAAGTAACTGTAGCCTACCCTGACTAAAGGCGGGTTTCATGCGAGTACAACTGAACCTGACAGGCAGCCAAGCAACACCGTATCTGACGTTGCCATCTATCTTCTCATGGAGGAGGAGCTGCTGTAATGACAGCAGGCATGGGCAGTGGTGAGGAAACTATTACATCTGCCACTCACAGTTTAGTCCGGGGCCTTGTTTACACTAGTAGAGAACAGGTAAGCAGTGCGTTAGCATTTATTTGCCAACTGACACTGTGTGAGCCAGGATTCTAGGCCAGTATCCGCTGGGCTGTGAATGAAACTAATGGAGCTTAATTTAGGGATTAAACATGAAGTGGGAGCTGAAGTGATTGTGAAGATAACTAATGCAATGTGATTCTTATCTTGCTGAGTTTAGACTCTGTGGAAATGAATTTAGCTATCTGTGTGCATTTCACATCTCTGCTGATGAGCAATATAGTAAGGGTTGATGAGCACGCAAATATAGTAAATGTGGTTTTACAAAGATTGGTTCACAAATGGAAAATGTTCAAATGCCGAAAAGGACAGACCATGGTCGAGACTCTCTAAAGCTCTTGTCTTTTCTGTGTCTGCCTGCCAACCACGGGATTTTGACAGTGGGGAGTTTTATAAAAAAATCGAAAAGGACGTATTTAACACAGTTTTATCAAGAAACAATTTCTGACAAGCATCCTTTAGTCTGGTTATTACAGAACTCTGATGATGTTCCTAAAATTACATCAAACATATTTCTAGCCAACATACAGACTGATGTGCTGCACCTGTGATATGCCATAATCGACCAATTCAAGCTCTATTTCTGTGTAACAGCTCTACTTATTTAAAGGAGCTATTTGTATGTTTTTCTATTGCTGTATAGCCAGTGTTAGCATTAGCAGCTGTTTACTTACCAGTCTAGAAGGAAAATGGCAAGTTCAGCATCAAACTTGATGGTGGAAAACAATGTTAAATCAAGTCTTTTGTTCTACTGAAGTTAGCATGGTAAACTTACTTTAAAGGGACTATGCATTTATACGTTTTCTCTGCTTCTGAACATGGTTTCTTCATGGAGCAGGTGGTGGTGATTATTGCTTGGCAAGAGCTTCGGCCATCTCTATAATACAAGATACTTCGTCTTCAGGGGACATTGGAGGCTACAGTAAGTCACTATCAGAAAGTGAACAGGCTGTGGCTAGCTGGTTAGCTTGCTAACTTCAGTAGGAGAAGAGATGTGATAGAAACAAGAGTTAACATTGGCGTTGCTTTCCACCGCTGGAGACAGCTCGTGGTGCATAAAGGAATGGTTTGATGCTGACCTCACAATGTTTCTTCCAGACAGTGAGTAAACAGCTATTAATGCTAATGTTGGCTGTGTAGCAGTAGCAAAACTTATTTCGAACTTATACTGTGTTTAAATTAGCATCAGAGAGTTTGAAAACTAATAAATTCCTATCAGGCATGAGTCCTGCCTCATCAGGATTGTGTGGAATGGTTTGGCTGTCTTGCATTCATCTTATAGGTAAATGTTTGTGCAGTAAAGCATTGGAGAAGAGTTGTGCATTGTCACTCTGGTCTAGCATAAACAAACAAATCAAAGCAGTCAGTGAAAAAAAACAAAACAAAAACTTGCATCACCTTTTTCCAACAAAGCCTACTCAGTTCAAACCAGTAGGCTAGTGCTCTCGCCCCACCAGGTAATAGTGTGCTCATCTAGGATCTCACTTACAGTAAGACGCAGATTAAGACAATAGTTTCTCAGGGCATTTAAATGAGTTGTCAAAATTAAATGTGTCTAATGTTTGAGGCTCCAGCTATGTTTACTTAGGTATCTATTCCCTGGAGATTAAAAGCCATCCAATATTAAACCACAGTTAGATGAATTTCTAAGCTAATGAGGGCAATTTTAGCCAAAAGGATCATCCTCCATGAGTCTATTTTTGTCAAGACCAGCAGCAGAAATTATTAAGTAATGCTGGAAACTACAGTGTGTGTATGGAGAGATGGGGGAGGGTGTCTGCTGCCAGAGTCAAGGGGCTTAGTCCGTAATTAAATAAAAGATCTGTGATGTAACGTGCACACAGATGTAGGACTCTATCTTTAACATTTGGATTAAGTGGCTGCTGAATACTGCTGCCTTTCTCTGATGGCCTCATAGATTTATGAAAGTGAGCATAGCTATTTTTTAAAACCCATCTGTCGTTATTACCTTTTTTTTTTTTTTAATTGCCCGTCCGTATGGATACCTGCCCAGAGTTATAAGAGCTGCTTACATCTTTGGTTAAATCACAACGTTGACACATGGCAGTCATGGAATATTAAGTCCAGTACGGAGGCTTTTTTTTTCTCTCTCCTCACGTGGACATTATCTTGATTCCACACCTAGCAAGAGGTCATGCATGTGAGTAGTTTTTCTTCTCCACAATGGCTTGTTACTTCATATGCTCTGCACTGCACTGTTGGCTTTTCAGGATGAAAGAGATAATCCAGTTTCACAGCAAACACAGGCACTGCCATGAACTAGACTTCAGTTATAGCTAGCTTTAGCTTTTTTCATACTTTTTAAAGTTTTTTTTTGCACTCCTCTTTATAAATTGCCATTCGGAAGCTGCATTTTTGAATCATCGTCCCTTTGATGTTATGTCTTGATTTGAGTGGCTTTTCATGTTTCACTTTCCTCATCCCTCTGACAGCCAAAGACACTGAAAGTGCCTGTGTGCTATGTTAAAAGTTCAGAGTGAGAAAGTAATGGAAATTTGAAGCCCCTCGCTCAAGGCTACCACAGGTATGACTCACAGGTCAGTGACAGAGGAAAATGAGAAAGCAAGGTCAACGTTTTCCAGTAGTGCATTCACAAAAATGAAGTGAAAGTGGATCAAATGCCAGCGTACTTTAAGAGGAGGAAGTAAGATTAAGACAGACAGAAAGACGATGAAAAGACCGAGAGAAATCCACTCTGGGGGAAACAGCGTCCTTAGAAGTC